TAAAATTAAATATCTGCACTGACAAGTATAATCTTTACTTTGGTACAAATATATAGGCAGTTTTAAAATGCGTTATTTGGTTGTTCTTTTCTGAGCAACCTTAGGTTTGCTTATTGTTACATTTAATTGTTATATTTATTTTATTAATTTAATTAATTAATTTAATTAAGGAATATTGTTACAAAAAATGTTTCAAGCATATTAGAAAAATTGAAATTTACTTTATGATAAAAGCACGGTAATCTGTCCAGCACGGTAAACACAGTCTGTGTCTTTAAGGGGGAAGTCTACTGTAAAATTTTCAAAAAATCAATTTTTTGTTTATTGGCTTAAAATACTTTGAACCCTCTAAAATAAGGTACATTAGGTGTTATAGCCGGCTAAATTTTTCTTCATTGAAAATTTCGACCTTTTACCGAAGTGCTCCGAAACGCGTACCTGCGGCAAATTCCTATCTGTTCAGCGGGTACAGCGTAGTGACTTGTAATTCAATTTCTAACATTTCTAATACTCCAAGTCGATCAACAGATGTCACTAGGTATATTTTATAGTCAGTTAGAAGCGATTTCAAGTATTTCAGTAAGGACGCCGGTAGTGCGTAATTTTAAGGGCCAGTGTGTCGAACAGCTGTCATCGTTTCGGCGTTTCCCGCGTGGCTAACGTATAGTTTTTACACTTTTATCAAAATGAAGCCTGCTTCTTTCGACCGAAAGGATTCACGCGAAACTCCCGATCGACCTTCACGACGTAGGAAAAGACCGCCGCCACCAAATCGCCATACGATAAAGAATGAAACGGAATCGACAAGTTCTTCCGCGAAAAAATTAAAAACGATATCGGTGGAAGTGGAAATTAATAATGGTTATGGATACCGTTTGATTGAATTTTTATTCTTGTTTCAAACGCTGAGTGAAATGATCATGTGCAAAACGTGCGGTAAAAATGTGACTTTTTCGGAAAGTAGTATCCGTGGACTTGGATTCAAATTAGTCGTTAAATGCAGTAATTGTGAATCTTGCTACATAAACTCCTGCCCACTTATAAACAACGCTTACGAAATCAACAGGCGCATCGTTTTTGTAATGAGAATCATTGGTGTCGGTTACGAAGGAATACGAAAGTTTTGCGGTATAATGGATCTCCCGAAAATGTTCAATAAAAAAGTTTATTATGATATCGTCGATAGTGTTCATACTGCATCGCAAGCCGTTGCCAATTTACTGTTTTCTGCTGCTGCTGCTGAAGAAAAAAATTTGACGGAAAGTACCGAAAATGCTGACAAACCAACAAGAGGATTAACTGTTTCTGGCGACGGAACTTGGCGTAAGCGAGGTTATTCATCGTTGCAACGCGTAACGACTTTGATCGGACGTTATACAGGAAAAGTCCTCGATCTCCTAGTAAAATGCGCGTATTGTAAGCAGTGCGAGTACTGGAAGACACACGCTGACGACTTCGATGAATGGATGGAAACACAAAAATGAGTGCACTGCGAATCACGTTGGTAGCGCCGGAAAAATGGAGGTGGACGCGACTAAAGAAATGTTCATGAGATCGGAGAAATTACACGGCGTGAAATATACCTCCTATGTCGGTGACGGCGATTGCAAAACTTTCAAAAGGATAACAGAATGTAACTCTTACGGCGAAAATTGTATTGTCGAAAAAAAAGAATGCGTTGGCCATGTCCAGAAAAGAATGGGAGCACAACTGAGGAAACTAAAAAAAGATACTAAAGGACTGGGCGGCAAAGGAAAGCTCACAGCAAAACTAATAGATGAACTTAGTGTTTATTACGGGTTAGCCATCCAAAGGAATAAAGATTCTATGCCGGATATGAAAAAGGCTATATGGGCTACGCTGAAACACAAAGCATCGACAAACGAGAAACCACAACATGAGGATTGTCCGCAGGGTGAAGACAGCTGGTGTACCTGGCAACAAGCCAAAGCTCAAGGTAATCTGTCCGATTATGAACACAAACCGGCTCTCTCTAGCGACGTGCTGAAGGCCATCACACCTATATACAAAGAGCTGAGCAACGAAAATTTGTTGACACGTTGTGTTGGAGGATATACACAGAACAGCAACGAGAGCCTGAATGCGATGATCTGGTCGTTAGCTCCGAAACAAACATTCAGCGGCGCAAAAACCGTCGATATTGCGTCGTATTGTGCTGCGAGCATTTTCAATGAAAGCTACTCCAGTATCCTCAAAATGATGGACGTTATGAACATCAAAATTGGACCAAACGCCTTCAATTTATGCAACACCGTGGACGAGCGCAGAATATCACAAGCAAACGAACGGTCGTTCGACGCTTCAAAAGAAGGAAGAATCGAAAGAAGAACGGCGCGATCGGCACTTGAAGAGAATTTTCTTGAAGAAGAAGATGTACTATATGAAGCAGGAATGAGCGATTAATGGTAAGAAGCTTAGAAATGATTTTTTCATTGAAAAAACTAATGCCGAAACTTTAAACGCGTTTTTCTCGAAACTAAGTTTTTCAATACGGTGTACACGATATCTCAAGTTCTAATGAATAAATCGACTTGAAATTTTAACCATATATTCTCTGGAATAGTGTCTCTCGTCTGACGGAGCATTTTTTTGATATCGTTTTTTGTTTAATTGTTATAACAATAATAACATCAAATTTGGGCAAAAAAATAGAAAAAAATTTCAAGAATTTTTTTTCGGCGCCAAAATTTTTTATCGACAAAATCCTCCGTCAGACGAGAGTCAATATTATGTAGATGATAACCATATTTTGTTTTTTGTTTCAGATCACCCAGACGTGAGATTTTATGTACACCGTTTGGGCACCTAAAAAAACGGACCTGCGCTTGAAGGAGTGCCACGACGGCAATTTTGAATATTTCGACTTGAAAATTTTTTTACAAATACTTGAATATATAATAAAAATGACGGTTTAATTTAATTTAATGTACAAGTCATATTTTGTTAGAAAAAAAATCCGGAAAATCGGCCTGTTTTTTCCCTTGTCACAGTAGACTTCCCCCTTAAATCGATTATGATGGATTCGAATTTCGAGGAAAAAATTGTCAAGCATATTTTTTTCGCACATTTATATCAACGATAGAAATTATATCTGTATATTAATCTATCAAATTGTGAAATCAGTTTCAAATTATTGCCGTAAAATTATTAATATTAATAAATATTGTTAAGTATACTTCATTTTTCTATGAATGCAAGTTTGAAAGTCATGGATTTGACAATGAGTACATGAGGTACCACGGGTTTTAAACAGCAACATCTGCAGAACGATTATAAAATAATTATTTGTCATGCATACGATATAAATATCTCTTTTCGTATACGGTGGTCACATTTTAAAACATGAAAATTTAAGATTTTTTATTTATTGAAAAGATACACACATAAAACTGTATCACGTAAAACAGTTCCGGTTGATCTATAAATATTGCTTGAATGCTACGATAAATATTTCCTCATTCCTATCAATTTACTAATTATATATACTCCGATGAACATTGGGAACAAAGTTTCCAAATCCATTACATTTCATCCTTTTGTGTTTCTATTAATATTGTTTAATTAAAAAAAGAAACGGATATAAACACATAACATTATATGTGCGCATATATATGTATGTACCATACATATACAGAATGTTCAAAAAGTATAGAAGCACCTGAATTATTCCAAAAATATACAAGATAAAAAAATGTTTTAAACAAAAGTTGCAGGACTTCAAATAAAGCATTATGTAACAATATCAGTATGACCTTGAACAGCGTCGTCAAGGTCACGTAAAGATCACTTTAAATTTTTTAATGGAAACTTTTACTTTTTATTACATCTTCTTAAAGTTCAGCTTTAGAATTTTTCAAAACACAATAATAAAGTATTTTTTTTAGTTATTAGATCTGAAGTTTATAGAATTTTAACATAAAATACAAAAAAAATCTGGTAAAACATTCAGTTTTCGGTAATTTTACTTTAATATTTTTATGTACAAAACAATGAGACCAATTAATTGATATAAGAAAAACACAGGGTTGATTTTAAAAAAGTAAGTAATTTGCAATATATTTGTTTTTATATGAATAAAAAAATATTTTGTTATAGTGTTTTGAAAAGTTCTCGAGCGAAGCTACAAGAATATAGAAATGCAGAGAAAGTTACATTAAATATACCGGGTTTTTCAGGAAGAATAATTAACATTCTAGAACATAATAAATACAGATTATTTTAAGTTTATATAAGCATGTATTTTGTTCTGGACGCGGTTATAAAAATACAACGTGATCAGTTTTAAGAACGAATGAATTTATTTAAAAGTAGCAAATTTTAAGTTTACAGTTATATTATACATATAAAACAATTAAATTTTATAATTTTGAATAATTAATAGTAACATTTTGAAATTCTTCTCTCTTTATTCTTGTTTGCTTTTTTCTTGATCTGACACTAAAAGATATTCTAATAAATAAATAAATAAACATATATGCACATATATGCATATATAAAATGTAATTATTGTATAATATATATGCAATTTTATATATAGTATTGTGTATATAGTTATATTATATATTATATACAAAGTGTTTCAGGAAGAATGATTAGCATTCTAAAGTATAGAAATATGAGATTGTATACCTTATTTTAAGCAATAAAGTTTATATAAACATGTGTTTCATTTGTGAACGTGGTTATAAAACTACAACGTGTTCAGTCTTAAGAACAAATACATTTTTTTAACTTAATAGAAGCAAATTTTATGAAACAATTACATTAAATTTTAAGCTTACAATTTTAAATAATTAATTTAAATTAATATTAATTAGTAAACAATAATTTAAATTAATTAACAATAAATTTGGCATGAGTGTAAACATAAAACATTTTAATTACACCAGAAACAAAAAATTTCAAATTAACGCAAAACTTATTAAATATGACCTAATGTTTACATTTGTATTCGGATAGTAACAGAAAACGACAAAAATTAAATAAAAAAAATTAATTAATTAATTAATTAATTATTGTTTCATAGTATTTATTTCTCCTAAATTAATAAATGTGTTTGATCTTTAAAATTGAACACATTGTATCTTTAAAACCGTCCAAAATAAGATGTTTGTATAAATTTTTTTGCTTAAAATAATTCATACAATCATGTTCTAGAATATAACCATAGAATATTGATCATTCCTTGAAACATCTTGTATATGTATATAGGATGTTCCACCAAAAATTCTCTTTTATTTTTTAAACTAAAAGAGATAGACTATAATATACATATCAAATTAAATGATCCAATCTGAATTCTATTGTAAGCATACCCAAGTAAGAAACAAATATATAAAAAATGTTTAAAACTCATTTCAAAGATATTTTTAAAATGTTAAAATAATTGGTTAAGTCCTTTTTTATATAAATCACATTTAAAAAAAAAAACGTTTACCTTAATGTTAATTCAATATAAATATTTATTTAACATTTATTAAATATTTAATTAAGATATTTCTATCAGGCTCTCAATATTAAATATAATACATATGATAGAAAGGCTGTAAGAGCCGAACGCGGATGTTGCTGCGTGTATTCCGACGAAAATTAATTTTTCATCGGAAATAAATAATTATATGCACAAGGCACGAATTTTACTTGGTCACTGCCAAGACTTAAATATATGGAATAATCTCATCTTTGAGATTTAATTCCATTGAACCCCCTCTGACCCTCCTTAAAGAAATAAATGCGAGAAAAATATAGATCCGAAAGTGGCTGAATCGGGAATCGAACCCGAGAACCTTATATTTAAGAGAACCTAAATATTTAATATTTTATTATTAAAATATTAATAAAATAAATGTTTATTTAACGTTTATTACATATTTATTTTATTAATATTTTTAAAAAATATAAAAATTTATTAATATTTTTAAAAAATATAAAAATATATAAAATATTTAATAAATGTTAAATTAATATTTATAATACATTAACATATAAAAGTAAACTTTTTTTAATGAATAAAAAGGAACTTAACCAATTATTTTAACATTTTTTAAATAGCTTTTAAAATGAGTTTTAAACATTTTTTATACATTTATTTGCTACTTCGCAGTGGTTGCTTACTGAAGCTGTTTATGTAAACAAATGGAGAAGTTTGCACTCTCTGTTTCTCTCTACGCAGATATAAGGTGAATCAAAAATATTGTTTTCAAAATTTGTGAGCTTGTTCCTTTTTATGCAAGAATACACAAATTTTTTAAACATACTTTTGACTCACCTTGTACACACACACCGATTACACTTATTACTTTTAATGATGATATAATTTTTACCTGTTGTGATGAATTTTCTTCAAATTTCTTTTTCTTTAACGTGCGATTAACATTTATTATAGTAGTCAAAGACATTCGGTCTTCTAATTTCTTAATGTTTAGACTTTGTACTGAAAAGTACGGTGGATCAACTGTAAATAATTATTACACAGTTATTATATATAAAAATAAAATATATATGTATAATTTCGAAAAAGAATAAAGGTATTAATATATAATCATAAAAAAATTGCTGTGAAATGTGTGTGTATACGAAGGCAAGGGAACAAGGAAATCATTTTAAACAATTACTTAAATATTTAATAATGTTATTGAATTTAAAATTTGTTAATTTAATGTTGTTTGAAAATTTGTAAGTTCAAAAAATAAATGAATTTATCTATAATTCTTTAATTTAATTGATAATCGAAGATATAAATTTATTGACATTTTTTGATTTACAAAAACATTTTTAAGAAGCCCTTAAATTTATTATTATATTTTTTTGAAACACCATGATTACGAAATCAAAATATCAAAGCAGGAAAGTTTAAAATTAATAAAATTGAAATTAATAATAATAATAATAAATATTTAAACATTTCTTACTTGCATATTGCATCTCGCCAATTACTTTAATTTTATCTCCTTTCATAAGTTCATAATCGTTTTCTTCAAAACTTGTAATATGTACTTCTAATTTAAAGTACCCATCAGTGATGGATCCACATCCAATTTTCTTATTCAAATTAGTTTTATAAATTGGCCCAAAATTGGACTTTATATAGTCCTCTAATGCTATAAAAGAAAAAATATATAAACATATATAAATATATAAATATATAAACATATAAATATATAAACATAAATATATGTATAAACATAAAAATATGTAAACATAAATATATAAACATATAAATATATAAACATATAAATATATAAACATATATACAGAGTGAGTAATAGAAAATTTATTACGTTCTTCTAAAAAAGAAAAGGTTAAAGATAAAGGAAGATATAAAGAATAATATATATTACCAAAATTATAGGTTTAAAAATATCTATTTACAAATCTTATCACTTTGACCTTAAATGGTGTTGCCAAGGTCAAGACAAAACTTGAATTTTTTAAATAGAATCACCATACTTTTTTATACAAATCGATTTCTATAATATTCTGTATAAAAAGTTATAAGAGTAAAAAGGTCAAAAAGTGAATAGTTTACGATATTTCATATTTTAATTTGACATAATCTTACATAAATTATGAAATATATATATATATATATATATATATATATATATGTTGTAAAATATTCATTTTTCAATAATCTTATCCTAATACTTTTATGTACAAAATGGCTTCTAGTTGAAAATTACATATTTTTTCTTAAAAACAATTATGTATTTTCTCTAGACTAATCGATTTTTCTCATTATTTTATTCATAAAAATATAATATTAAGATAAGATTATCAAAAAATGAATATTTTAAGAGAAATTTCACAGTTCATGTGTAAGATTATGTAAAATTAAAATATAAAATATTTTATAATCTATATATTCACTTTTTAATCATCCTACTCTTTTATAACTTCTTATACAGAATATTACAAGGAATCAATTTATAAAATAATAAAAATATATGATGATCTTATTTAAAAAATTCAAGATGTTTTTACTTTGACCTTGGCAACGTCATCCAAGATCAAAGTGATAAGATTTGTAAATCGATATTTTAAACCCTAATTTTGAAAATAGATATTTTCTATATCTTCCCTTATCTCTAATCGTTTTTGAAAAAAACGTGGTGGACTTTTTATCAGACTCATCCTGTATATGTATATATTCAGGATGTTCGATTTAATCGGTCTACACCAATATTTCGAAAAATATAGAAAATACGAAAAAAATGTTTTATACAAAAGTTTTATGACTTTAAGGGGGACAGACAGAATATCATTGGTTTGATCTTGCATAATCGTTTGAATCTTACGTGAAGGTCACTTTCAATTTCTTAAATGGAAACCCTTATTTTTTAATGCATATTCTTGTAGTTGCTTATTTCGAGAGCTTTCCAAAACACTATAATAAAATACTTTCTTCTTAAGTACTTTTTGAGATATAAAGCTTAAAGTTTACAATTTTTTAACATAAAACATAAAATATATATATATATCTTGTAAAATATTCAGTTTTCCGTAATCTTACTTTAATACTTTTATGCACAGAATAATGAGACCAATTAATTTATATAAAGAAAACAAATAAGTATTTAAAAAAAATGTAAGTAATTTGCCACTGCAGCTGCACACTTTTTTTTAATGCAACTATGTATTTTTTTACACTAATTGATTAGTTTCATTATTCTATGCATAAAAGTATTAAAGTAAAATTGCTGAAAACTGAATGTTTCACAAGATATTTTGTATTTTATGTAACTCAAGAAATATTTAAGAAAAAAATATTTTATTATATTGTTTTGGAAAGCTTTCGAGATAAGCTACAAGAATAAGTATTCAAAAATAGGACTTTCATTTAAAAAATAGAAGTTGATCTTCATGTGATCTTCAAACAATTATCCAAAATCAAACTAATGATACCATTTTTCGTTTCCCTTGAAGTTATAAAACTTTGGTATAAAACATTTATATTTTCAATATTTTTCGAAATATTAAATAGTATTATAAGAAATGAATAAAAATAAAAAGAATAATAATAAACAATTCATGAGTATAAGAAGGCATAAGATTGAATTGTAATTTACCGACTCTTGATGATGTATTCATTACATCACAAAACTCCACAAGCTCCGGTTCGATTAAATTGGTTCGTTCCATATTATATTTCCCAAAATTGAAGATTGTTGTATTACTCTGGATCTGTAGCTCGTAGGGCACATTGCCGTTATTATATCGTGAAATTTTAGGAGTACGAGCCTGCACTCCGTCTAAATGAATAATCTATAATATAAATTTTATATTAATTAAAAATATACAAATAATTAACTTATTGAATTAAAATCAAATTTGAAAAATTTCTTAAATAAATAACATAAGTGTATACATATATATATATATATATATATATATATATATATTTATTTATTTTTTATGTTCCTTTGGTATGTTTCTTTCGTAAAAAATTCGAAAATTTATATTTAAAAAATTCAAAATTTCATGAAAAATGATCACCAATCTTCATTAAATTTAATAGCAACCATTCTTTATTCTTTAATGATACTCTATTCAAGTAAAAGAATTTACCTCTGTTCGGAGTCCGTCCGAACTGTTATTCGGCATGATAGGCGCGTGATACTATACGACTCTCAAGCGTGAGCACGTCGTGATCTTCCCTGCGAGGCACGCTTGCCCCGTTTTTGGGTGAAATGCCTAAGCGCTCCGACCAGTCAGTCGTCCGAGAGACCCGAAAAGTTAACAAGCGAGTGATCCGCGATTACGAACCCTGGTGAATTTATTTTCTATAGTGACATTATTATTCAGTTTATAATCTTAATCAGGCTTTATTCTTACTTGTGTTTTATTCATTACTGTAAATTTACTCATTTTTTTTGTGCCAAAATAAAAACAAAGTTATACAGTCCATTATTTACTTGATTACGTGGCGTCCCACGAACAACCTCGATATGTCAAAATTTATAGAAGTTAGAACACAATCACAAACATTTATCGAAAAATTAAAATTGCATTAAAATTTAAAATACTATATAAATTTTAAAAATATTAAAAATTATTATAAATTTCTTCAGTTGCTATAACTACATAGATATAAGAGATAAATTAACTTACCACATTACCTTAAACATATTATTAATCGCTGTTCTGTCTCAATTAGCTTACGAACATATTGCCGGGTTATTCTAGGTACAATTGCAATAACTCTTCGCATTGAGTAACGATCATCCTGATGCATTTTCTTTTTTCCTTTGTGTATCTGTAGTACTAGAATGTATTGATTGTTTATTATATCTCTTTAAAGTATGTATATCAATAATTTTTTGCCCGATCTCATTATTTTTAAAATAATCTTTGTTTTCACTATCTGATGTTAAAATAATATCATTAGTAGATGTATTGAATTCAATCTTGCATTTATCTGAAATACAAATATAAATTAATGAAATAAAAGTAAAAATTTATAAAATAGAAGTAAAAATGAAAAATATCTTCAATAAATAATGTATTAAAAATAATATATATCTTTTACAAAAAATTAAGATAGCATGTTTTTTTTAATTTATTTTACAGATCAATATAGTGGACATAATATTATTATTATTAATATGATTAATAATAAATACCTTGTGAATCAATATTTTTTTTGTCGCTCTCATCACTTATAAGATCTTCATTATTGTTTGTGGGGTCTAATGTATCTAAATTTTCATTTGTAGATACTATGTCAAATGTAAGTTCACGCTTTTCTGAAATAAATAGAAGTTAATAAAATAAAAATAAAAACAAGAAGCAATAAGAATGAAACATTAATATTAGAAAATATTCAATAATTATATTGCAAAAAATTCAGAGGTCACATTAAATTAGGTTAATAATAGTTAATTGTAGATGTACCTTCAATCTCTAAATCTGTCATATTTGATGTAAATAATACTGGTGCATTTTATATTAGATATGGTGCTATATTAAGTACATCAGGATCAATTTTTGCTTCAGTTTCTTCTGGTCCTCCACCAGTTGCTAAACGCGATTGTTTTTCTTTAGTTAATACATCTCTCTGCGACTGCTTTAGATTTGGCCACAATTTTTTCAATTGTTGAAGTTCTCTATAATCAAAATATTGTGTAATATAATAAAGCGTATATTATTATCTGCTATATTAGGCCCTTCGCATAATCAAAAATATAAAGTTCTTACTTCTTGAGAGATTAGTGTCGATTGATTGTATTCTTTACATACTTCACTCCATGCAAGGTCTTTATCTTTTAATGTTGTGCCGTCGCTTTTTTTTTATTTCTATTACATGTTTTTCTAGTATTTGTAAGAATAATTTCCTTTCCATCAATGAATAGTGTTTGTTTTTGCTTGTAGGCTTCTCTTTGCAAGACATTCTGTAAAAAATATATATTTAATATCTACTAAAGTTTAATTTTACTCAATAAGATTCAAATATCGTCGTTCATTAATTACAAATATTTCAAACCTGTATATTTCTCGATGATTTTTTTCAATGAAGATTGAAAATTGAAGCGATGAAACACATCCGTACGAACGCAAGATAACAGCACACAAGAATACGTATATTGCATGTCTGCATGTATCATATGTGTCTCCGATGCAATGTTTCTATTGGAGGAAATGCTATGTTCCTATTGGAGGAATAATAGTAATATTACGAAAATAGCCGATTCGCGCGCGCGAAAATAAGCACAGGCTTAAGTATGTCTTCATCAAGTCAGTCTCAAATTAAATAAGATTTACTTGAGTGTTAACTTCTTCACGAAGATTGTCTTATTTCACGGCTATGAAATCTATGACGATTATGAAATCTATTAATCTTAAGACGATCTAGATTGAATAAAATAGACTTGATCATAATCATCTTATGTGTTAATTTGAGACTCGACTATGAATACGGGCCTTTGTCCCAACATTCCCAACCAGTCCAACCTCTTTTGACGACATCTTCGACAATCTCAGTTTGGGAAGAATTTGATATCACAATAAGCCACCTTCAAGGAATGCACAATCCCTCTACTGCAGCAATTATAGAGTTAGACAAATATTTGGCCGAACTCCACATTACCAGGACAAACGATCCTCTAATTTGGTGGGAAGCAAGAAAAAATCTATACCCAAATTTATATAAAATAATGCTCAAAAGGCTCTGCATCCCTGCAACTTCGGTCCCATGTGAAAGAATATTTTTTAAAGCGGGACAAATTTGTAATGAAAAAAGCCGATTAACAACAAAAAAATTAATCAAATTTTAGTTGTGCAACATAATGTTAATTTATTATAATTAATATATTAATAATAATAATAAAAATATATATAATAAAAAAAACAATTTTTTTGTATTTCCCAAACATTCATGATTTATATTAAGCTTAAATAAGCGAATATAAAAGATTTTTTGTACGAGAATAAATTTAAAAAAGATAAAGAATAATTATTTATAAAGAACCGATGAATCGTATAAAAGAACCGATTTACTTAAGAGAACGAACCGACTCTGAACCGCTAACCAAGGTGAACCGTCTTGTCTTTCTCTAAGTTAGATGAATGAAAAAGAAGTTAAATAAAGTAAAATTAGAATCCCTCAGGTTGAAATATTATTGAGTTATGGCGAAGTAAAATCTTTGATAGAATGTGCGAGCAATAAATAAACCCAGTAAATTAGAAATTTACATAACAGAAAGTGATTATATTGCCCACATCAAGGAGTCACATGTAAGGGGGGAAAATTTAAAATATATATTTTATTTTATATATTAATAAACTTTTTGTTTTCTTTCTCTCTTTTTGCTGTCACTATCGTAATCAACCTTAAAAGGCTAATTGCAAAAACTTCATACGTAACAACCAAAATTTATTAATAACTAAAAACGGATAAAGGGCAAGCCATAGTAATAATGAACAAAAGTGACTACCTTTTAAAAATGAGCTCCTTGTTGGATGATCGAACCACTTATAAAAAATTAGACAAAAATCCTATTAAAAAAATTAACAAATAAAATTAATTCTTTGGTGCGATAAGTCTTGGCGCGATAATAATGTAATTGACGAATCAACGTATAAGGTATTAAATAATACAAATGGAAATCTCCCTCAATGCTACGGGCTGCCGAAGATACATAAAACTGGCGTTCCTCTCCGAATTATTGTATCTGCACTTGGCAGTCCTGTATACAATATTGCACAGTACATACATAAAATTCTACACAATACTATAGAAAAACCGAAATCGCATATAAAAGACGGTTGGTCATTTGCAAAAAAAGTAAAAAATATGATCATTAATGACGACAAAGTTTTAGTTTCATTAGATGTAACATCATTATACACCAACATCCTTAAAGAACTTGTAATTGAGGCGATTAAAAAGAGATGGAACACAATCTCACAGAATACCACATTGAATTTGTCACAGCTTACATTCGCAATAGAAACTATATAAGATTCCACATTTAGTTTTAATGGCCACTTTTATGAACAAGTTTTCGGCAGCCCGATGGGTTCTCCATTGTCACCCATTTTGGCAGATATTGTCATGGACGATTTAGAAACCTTTTGTTTAAATTCATTGACTTTTAATGTACCGGTGTACTATAGATACGTTGACGACATCTTCACGATTTTACCACGCTCTAAGGTTAATGAAATGTTATCAGTTTTTAATGCGTACCACCATCGCCTAAAATTTACTTATGAAATTGAAAAAGACAATTGTTTAAACTTTCTTGACACGAGTATCATCAGATGTAATGATAGGAGTCTAATCACTAATTGGTATAGGAAACCCACTTTTTCGGGAAGATATATCAATTTTCTTTCCCACTCAAATATAAAATTAATTGCATTAACAACTTGGTCAATAGAGCCATTCTATTGTCTGACAATAAATTTCACATTGACAATATTCAAATTATTAAAGATATTCTAACCAATAATAATTTTCCATCTCATGATATTAAAAAACAAATTAAAAAAAGATTACATGTAATTAATAATATTAATAATAGTTTTGACAACAAGAGAGATGAAAATAACAATAAAAAATTTGACATGTTTTTTCATATTGTGTTACCGTATATCAATAATCTGACTGATAACATTTCTAAAACTCTGAAGAAAAAAGGATTAAAAATAATTTATAAAAGATTCCAAAAAATTAAACACGCTAATTAAACGCGGTAAAGATGTATTACCGAAAATGAACAAAACGAATGTAGTATACAGACTAGAATGTAATGATTGTGACGCGTCGTATATAGGACAAACAAAAAGACATTTTATTTACTTTATATTATAGATTATTGATATTTATTTACTTTATTTATAGATTATTGATATATACATATAATTATTGATTACTAGAGTAAAAGAACATCAGAATAATATAAAGACATGAAACAAGCCACTCGGTGCTCAGTAAACATAAAACCGATTGCAATCATGACTTCCGATGGCTTGAATCATCAATATTTTACATACCGAGAAAAATAGACGAAAAAGAGAGATCGCTGAAATGTTCTATATAAAAAGACAAACAAATAAAATTAATTTACAAATAGACACTGATAACCTTAGTCCTATTTATGACAACATTATTCAAATGATTTAAAAAACATAATACCAGTCTACAGTAGCTAACTTGTCGATATGACAGGACAACTTTCGTGTTTCTATTTTTAATTATATAATTGCTGAATAAGAATAAGTATTAAGATATAAGACAGGCAGTAAGAGCCAACTCGCGGATGACA